GCAGGCGACTCGACGGCACATAACAACAACAAACAAAGCATTTGAAGATTCGGAGGTTCCATTTCTCTTTCTCACTCTCTGTTCCTTTCCCTGTGCTTCTGCCTCTTAGCATATCTCACTGTTTAATTCTTTCTCCAATTCTGTGTCTCTATTGCTATCTTGCTCACTCTCCAGTCTCTGTGTGGTATTATCTCTGTATTCATCGCTGTTTCTTTAAATGCTCCTCTATCTCTGTAATTACCTTTATCTTCTTACTCTTTTCTTCTCTGGCCAGCACCCTTCCTTGTCTGAACCAATCTTCTCCTCCTCCTCCCATCCTGAAACATTACAGCTGTAGCCATGCGCCGCCTGGTGGATTGAATACTGCAATACTCCATACATTCTCCCGCCCCATTCCCACCCCTTTTCTCTCTTTGTGTTTCTCATGCAACCAAATCCTATTTTGCTGAGTCTGCTCATCTGGATTTTAGATCTCTACACATTTGTGAAGCATTTATTATGTACCAGACTCTGTTCCACGAAGGTTACATATATCTTAGCCATTTCCATAAATGGATGTCCTAGGTATGTCATTAAACCCATGTTCTGGATGAGCTGTGGTTTCCCAGGTTCACAGACAGTTTCTGTTTGTTTCTCTGTCTGTCTCTCTAGTACCCTCCAACCCCCTCCTCCCTCTCTCTCCTATTGACCTGGAACTGACCCGTAGCTAACCCTCCAGTTGGTTTTCAGAGATTGTAAATCACACAGGAGGAGACTGTCTTTCTCCCATGGAGCTCTTCGTGAGTTTGGATAAGCACAAAGGCCCAGCCTTTGGGTTCACTATGAAACTCCCTATGGTCTAGGCCACCAGAGCTTCTTCAATAAGTGCTAGAGGCAAGACTGGATCCTAGACAATCATTCAAGTAGAAATTTTTAGTCAACACAAGCATTAAATTTAAATGTTTATTTTCTAATCCATATGGGACATATATACTTATTCAGATGACCTTATTTAATTGCCAGAACTTCCTAGAGAGAAAGTGTTTTTATATCTTGGTAGGAGATCGAGGAAAGGACAATGGAGGACAAGCAGCAAGTGTTCTGACTTCTTTGAGGAGACACTAGAGAGATTTGTTGAAATCTTAGACTATGGGTCCCCAAGATATAAAACAAAACAAAAAACCCAGATGCAGGTGGGTTCATTCCAACTTGTGGCAGCCCCATATGTGTCCCAGGAGAGCATTTTTCAGAAGTAGATTGCCAAGCCTTTCTTCTGAGCTACCTTCGAAAGGACTTGAGATGCCAATTTTTCAGTTAGTGGCCACATAAGGGTCTTCAAGATATAGCTTGGGCAAACTTCAAGCTCCGTTAGGAAGCCTGAAGGAGCTCAGGTGACAGTATATAAGGATCCATGCCGCTAACCGAAAGAACAACCTCTTTGGAACTTCAAAGCCACTAGTCACTCAAAAGGAGAAAGATGAGAAATTTCTTTGGTGTAAATTACAGCCCTCAAAAACCTACTACAAGGTCAGCTCTAAGTTAGTTCTGACTCCATAGCAAGGAGTTTTCTGGGTAGGGAAGCCCGAAGTCAGCAGGTACTGGAGCAGCAGACTAGCAACTGGTTAGAAATGGCTGTGGAGACAGGATCAGCAGGAAGGGCTCCAGGGCCGCTCTCAGACTCATAGATTCCTACATGGATCAGAGATAGTGGCTGAGTTCCTCAGGTTTCAGGTGGCCGTGGATGATTGAGAGACATAGTGGCTGGACATATGAGGACAGAGAGTCATGGATGGAGCACAAGGACATTCCCAAGGTAGTCCCTGGGAAGGACACAGATTTCAGCCATGATGTCCAAAGAATGCTGTTCTCTATTTATTTCCTTCAAGTCAATGCTTTGCCAGGCAGAAGACATTCTCTGGTAGGAGAAATGCTAAGTGATATTCAGCACTCCACTCCTTCAGGGGGCTCTTTTATTCACAGAAGTACCGCTCAGGTGTGGCTCATTCACTCACTGTCCGCATGCAACACCCAGAAAGGCCACACCAGGCTACAAAAGGCATCAGCTTGCTGTGTAATCTTGGGCAAATTGCTGCTCCTCTTTGAGATTCGTTTTCTTTGTAAGTACAATAAAAGAGTCAAACTAAATGATCCTACATTTCCTTTCATTTCAAGCATTCTTCAAAATAGGGAACTCTGGTGATGTAGTCTGTAGAGAGCTGTGCTCAAAGGCCAACCCTCTCTGGCAGTTTGAATCCAACAGAAAATGAGCAAAGATAGGTCATCTCCTCCTATGTGATTTTCAGCCTTGGAAACTTGGTGCAGAGACAGTTGTGAGTTAATTCCGACTTGATGAGAGCAGCAACGATGCTGAGCGTGAGTGTAAGAATGAGCTCTCTGGTAGTTTTGTAGGCTACGCATTGGGCTGCTAATCAAAAGGCTGATGGTTTGAACCCACCAGTTGCTCTTGGAGAGGAAGATGAGGGTACCTAATTTCATGAAGATTTACAGCTTCGTGGTATATTCACACAATGGAATATTATGCTGCATTGAAAAACAAGGAACTCATGCAATATTATTCAAAATGGGTGAGCCTGGAGGAGATTATGCTGAGTGAAGTATCTCAGTCGCAAAAGGACAAATATTGCATGGTGCCACTGCTGTAAAATGGGATTGATATCAGGGC